AGATTTTATTTTGCCCGTGGACTATATATTTTAGCATATTAATAACTGTTTTTAAAATATTTCACTTAAAAACATTGGTTAATATTATATTTCCTTTGGTTTATAGAGCTGACATCGATAGTGATGTTAGATTATTTTTTCTGTTAATCAGGGTCATTGATACAAACATATTGTTTTCCAATTATAGTACAGTTTTTATAGTTTTCCAATTAGTGCCGCCTTTTGTAAAAAAGCAAGTCCCCGGGGTGTTAAATAGAGATGATACGGTATTTGAAAAAATCAATAATTTTAATAAATTATGAAAATTCACCCTGAATTACATAAAAAAGCAGTTGGCCAAAGTAATTTTTTTATTTTAATATTATGAAGTTATAATCATAATTAAACAAACATTCTACCTGAGATTATACTGCTCTGTCGTCCCTCTAATTCCAAAATGAAGGCAATTGTTCCACCAAACAGTGTTGAGTAATGCTGTTGGTGTCATGGCACCAAGTACACCTTTCATATACATTTGATCAAACTTCTTTATCGGAGAGTGACGATAATGCAACTCGTGTTTATTGCCTTTTCCCAACTTTTTAGACATTTTTGTTTGGGCCTTTAAGGCATCTCTTGTCAAAAAAATTGTGGGCCATTTCCTCTCATTATAATTAAATGATATTTATTTTCTCTGCAGTTTTCGGTCAATACTACTGATAATAAGTTACGTAAAGAACTCGGTTCATATTCGGTACCATCTGCTTTCTTTATAGACAAAAAATAAAGTTTGCATAGATATGAGTCAAGTTGGTGAATGTTAATCTCATGTATCTCTCTTTTTTCACCTTTTGTTTCCAGAAACTTCTGAACTTATTTATGTCAGTTAGAGTTTTTTTCTCATGGTATTTTTGTTATCTTGCTCTTCAATGAACTTGTTTAACATCATTTGAGGATTAAATTCAAAAAATCTGATGTTTCAGGAGGATCTGTTCAATTAATGTTGGCAATTCAAGTTTGGTTGGCAGCAACAGAGATGACCAACAAAGGAGTACCTCTCAGTAAAGACTGTTTTCAACCAGGCTACGGTGGTGGTTTGGTTCCCATTTTCATCATCAAAAATCAGTAATTTCCAGACTGTATTTATTCAGGAAATCATCAGGATCAATTTCTTCAACTATGTTGTGTTTTTAAGCTGATCCCCAAATTAAGTCAAAATGTGGGTTTGACTCAAATAATCTAGACATTTTTTGACTGAATGAACTGCTCAGATCTTGGATTTTATCAGCAATAGCAGAAGACAAAGGTAAAAGTGCTGATAAATTCTCTCCTTATTTAATCATTATTTTATTTATTTAATAAAAGGTAGTAAAATTTTTTCTTTTTTTTTTTAATTTATTAAAAAAGTGTGAAGCATACAACCATTAACAATAAAAACTATAACAGTAACAATTTTTTTTTTGTATTTTTTAATATGCCTTTTATTTTTATCGTATCAAGATATGTAGTATTTGTAGTATCCAATGTAAACAGTAGACCGGAAATGACCCGAAAAAAGTAGTTCCGTCAAGGTCAAAATGTGTATTGATGAGGTGTCTGATAAAGCTTGGGGTGACTGAAAAAGCTAGGTTTATCGGGCATGCACTTTATCAACAGAAATCAATGTAATGACATGATAAATTGGCATCTGGTAGTATAGCAAATAGAATTAAAGGTGTTTTAGATATTTTAGTGTCAAAAGATCAAACTGGATTTGTTAAAAATAGATATTTGGAGAAAATACTAGATTATTGTAATATATAATGAAATATACTGAAGATAATAATATACCTGGTTTAATTATGATGATCGATTTCGAAAAAGCCTTTGATACATTATTTTTTAAATTTATAGAAAAATGTCTTTTACTGTTTAACGTTGGTCCTATGTTAAGGAAATGGATATCATTATTTTTATATAATACTGAAACTTGTGTTATTCTAAATGGTTTTTTATCTACAATCTTCAAAGTTAAACGAGGCTGTAGGCAAGGTGATCCAATTTCACCGTATATTTTCATGTTATGTGCAGAAATATTAGCTATTAAAATAAAACAATGTAACGATATTAAAGGTATACATATAGATGGTGAAGAATATTAAATTACACAATTTGCAGATGATACATCACTATTGTTAGATGGTACTGAAAAATCATTAAATAATGCTCTAAAATTGTTGAATATATTTTCAAAGATTTCTGGACTAAAAGTAAATTTTGATAAAACCAGAGTCATTTGGATAGGTTCCCTTAAGTACAGTACTAGATCAATCAAGACAAAATGGAAACTTACATGGGGTGATACACAGTCTAAATTGCTAGGTTTGATATTTGATGTAGATTTAGACAAAATGATTGATTTGAATTTTTATGAAAAACTACAAAAGGTAAAAAATAGTATTGGAAAAAAAGAATGTTGACACCAATAGGTAAAGTCACTGTTGTTATGTCTATTTAAATTCCATTATTTACACATTGTTTTACAAGTTTGCTCCTAGTGCAGTATTTTTAAAGACCCTCAATGATATATTTTATAACTTTATATGGGGAGGCAAGGCAAAAATAAAGCAATCAGTTATGACAAAGACATACAAAGAAGGTGGTCTTAACATGGTTGATATTTATAGTTATATACACTGTTTAAAGATAAAATGGCTTAAAAGGTATGTTAGTAATAGTGATGGAAAATGCTTTAACCTTGTTAAATCACTGTTTAATATTGATAAAATTTTTGATACTGGAAAATTGTTCTGTGATTTGATTATTAATAAGATTAAGAATAGATTCTGGATTGATGTTTTGAAAGCCTATATTGTACTTATTGATAAGCTTAATATAGATGATATTGAACAAGTGCTACATATGCCACTATTTTATAACCATAAATTGTTAACAGGAAGTAATATTTTTTTCATTAAATCTTTATATGATCATGGATTTAGATTTTTAAAGGATATTTTAAATCAACATGGAGAATTTTTAGACTTAAGTTACATAGAACAAATTACATGTAAACCAATTAATTTTATACAGTATCAAAGTTTGAAATTGGCAATAAAAAGATACACACAAAACCTTAATATTTGTATTCAAAATGACTTACTGTATGTTCAGTATCCTATTATAAGTTGTTACATCAAACCTATTATAGTTGTCAATAGCAATCATAAATAGGTTTATGAAACCATGGTACAAACTATAGAGGTACCAACATGCCAAGAAAAATGGATATCTTACTTTGGAGACATTTCCCTAAATTGGCAGTTTATATATGGTTATGTATTTAAATGTACTAAAGATTCATACTTAGAATGGTTTCAGACAAGAATTATTCACAGAATATTGACAACAAACTCTTTTTTATTTAAAATGAAAATAGTTAATTCCAAATTGTGCACTTTTTGTGAATGTCAAGAAGAAACACTGATACGTTTATTTTGGAAATGCAAAAAGATTCAGCCACTATTTCAGTTTCTGAAAGAAAATATACATATTTTTTTTTAATTGTAAATCTTTTATTCTTGGCTGTGAATTAAATGACTATAGATATCTTATTTTATTTTTAGAATTAAAAAGATATATATATTTGTCTAAGCGAAAAAATTTTTTACCTACTTGTACTGGTTTTAAAAATAGCTTGAAATTAGCTTGGAATATTTATAAAAATATAAATTTGACAACAGAAGAAATCAATAGATGGGCAATTGTTGTATCTCTTATTGTGTAACTGAAATAACTACATCAAAATTTGGTTATTCCACTAATATAAAAGATAACAACTTCAATGCATACAAGATATTTCTTTCATATGTTAATTTTGCTTATTCCACTAATATAAAAGATAACAACTTCAATGCATACAAGATATTTCTTTCATATGTTAATTTTGCTCTTCTTTCTTCGTTTTATAAGCTAAATAAATGATATAGATATTAATCTTATTAATTACATGTATATGTGTTAACTCTTTAATCATTATGAAATGTGATATAATGACATAATGTATATGATATGTTTGATATATATGTTGAGATGTTTGTATATATGACTTGATTGATATATACATATTGATTGAATTGTTTTTGCAATACATGTAAGGTATGATGGGGATGCCCTCAACCCCTTCAGACCTATTACGAGGAAAATAAACCGGGTTACCCAGTTGGGGCCTCAAAAAAAAAGTTTTCCCGACAAATACAAAGATAGTCCATTAATGTAACTGGTCAGCACAGGTCGGTTAAAATCACTTGAGTAATACTTATTAAATTGTATTTTGTCGTCAGTCTGTTTAAAAAATAAGAATTTTACGTCAAAACATAGTTTTCTCTATGTCTTTAATATAAGTAGTCAGCAATTTTCATTCTACTATAACCAACTGATTCCCCTGGTGGACATAGTGAGACAAGGTGCTTCAATGTTGAAAAACACAATTATCTTTCTATATATCCATTATATTTATTCCGGAATAAGTACTTTCTGTTTTAGAGAAAACATGTAAAGTTCGAATTACCGACTACCTGTTGGTAGGTTGTTGGGGATTATGAATAACCAACTACCAGCTAGTAGGTAGTTGGTCATTCGAATATCCAAGTACCAACTTCTTACCATATTGACGCTCCTTGTACTTCCAGGTAGTCAACAAAGGGGCACAACGATTCGGTACGTAAACATAGACTAATACATGATTGTCAGCCGAGTACGGATAGAAAGGAATCGAAAGACGGCTTGAAACTCAAATTTCGCGTGTATCAAATGCTACTGACGGTTGCGAATGGTCCCAGTTAATGTATTTAGAAATATTATTATAACGGTATTCCGTAGTCCCTTGGAGGAGTTTTGACTGAAGGGGCAATAATTTATTAACTGTTACCGTGGTCCATTAAGCATTGTTACCTACCAAAGATATCTTAAAGTAGTTTTCAATTTTAAAAGCAAGGTTTTGTGGGTTTCTTTCTTTTCTTTTAAGTCTATGTACAACGAAACAACCAAAGGCTCTTTAGAACCTGATGTGCAACGAACCAAGATTGTTTGAACAATTTTTGGACGGCCATAACAGCTCACCGTGAGAAATGATTTTCAACTCACCATCAAATCTATATATCACACCACTGCGAATAACATTTGTCGATGTTGGACCTGTAGCCTGGCTTATACTTGTTGAATTCAAGGTGTCATTATAGCTGATTGGAGACAAGTTTCTTTCGAAACAAGCTTTCACATAATGCTCCCACGAAAAGTATGTTTGTGAATTATACAGGACAGAAACGATAGCAGAACCTGAAAAAAGAGGAAAAACTTCATTGTGTGCAACAAGTTATTAAGCTTTTAATTCCTTAATTGTGCTAATGTATATCTTTGACATAACAATGGTCTTTGTTTTCATGTGCGGGGTCGGGTAAGGCTTGCAGCATCTCGCGTTGCCATTCACTTCTTTTATGGTTGATAGTTTCAGATTTGAAGCTTCTGTACACAATGGTAAATGATAAACTTTAAGCCCCTAAACATTTTTTTCTTTATTAAACTTATAGTTCCTAGACATCAAATGCAAAACAATTTTTGTTCTTAATGTGTAAGTTCAATCGCGACATCAACGTTTATGATGTAAGATGACACGAAGTAAGATATACCAAATTTAAGATAAAAACATTTTTTTTCGTTCTACAGTATTGCAACATTTTTAGTTTGAACAACTTTGATTTGTAAATGTCTTATAAGGAATGTATGAGGGATATTTCCAAGTGACTATAAAATTATCTTTGCAGTCTTAATATGCTTTATTTTGCTCGAAGAGAATTGACCTTCTCTCATGTCACACTAGTAATATTTTTATACTTTACCGCTAGATAAAAGATATGTTGCCTGCCTTTAATAAGCATGCAATATCATTGAACAGGTTAAGCATAATTATTTTAAAAGAACAATTTATATAACAAAGGTACCAATATGATTTTGAATGTTTAATACACCTGGAATTTAAAAAAGTAAATATTTACTATAATGATTGAATTTCTTTTTAAACAAAGCGCTTAATGACGACGTTTTCGAATAAATAACGTTACAACTACAAACGGTTGACACAGTAATTCAAATGGCGTGAAATTTCAACATGACATTTTTCGGGTTTTACACCAAGTCCGGGCAAATTTTGAACCTAATACATTTTTGTATCAGGTACTTTGATGTATAAAATTTCAACATACGTCGCGCCGCTGTGGCGTTTCCATGGTTATTTAAGGCGGAATATATGCTTTTTCTAGAATACCGCCCCTTACGGACTGGTTTTTTCCCCGAACGTCAATTCGTCTCTTACTTTCAATTCCTAGCCTAGCAATACCTTGATCCGGAATCTTTAAATCGTTCTGTAAGTATTTATTAAATATTTTCAAGCATCTCATTTTGTTTAATCCTTTGTTTCTTTGATCCCAACAAGGATGAATTATACATTATATACTTTGCTCGGATATCTGTAATGGTCTCGTTAAATTTCTAATCTTCAGACTGTAAAATTGATACCTGGCCTTTTGTTTTATCGAAATTAGAATCATGTAATTCAACCGTGTCCTTTCAGGCACTTGATTTGTCCTAAATTGTAACTGTTTTTACAACTCTTTTATCTAAGTCGGACGACAATTAATTGAGTTTATCATCCAGATTGGTAGCCTTTTCCTCTTTCGGTTTTTAATTACAAAGTCTAGTGTGAACTCATTCAACAAATTGTTGACTACATACATTTTTAGTAGATGTCTCAAAAATACAATGTCTTTGTCCTAGTTCAGAAAATGTTGCGAACATATAGAATGACTCAGGTACAATTTGTATAAACTTTATAAGACTATCAAGATGTGGGATGTCAAATTATCCCTCCCTATAATAAGCATATAACGGCAAAATAGCTGTTATGGAAATGCGACGATTTTATAAATGTAAAATGTTACAAGAGTCTTACACTGGCTGCCGGTACAGACCGGAATATCTAGCTTGCGGCGGTAACGAGGCTCTGTCGATTTTCCTTTAAACAGTTACCCGAGAATAACGTATGAGAAATTCCGTTGTTGTCTGGTTTTAAAAAGTCTCGGAAACCTACCTTGCAGCAATTCAAAATGTCGACTTTTTCAATGAAAAAGAAAGCAGATTCATAATGGCCGAGCTGGAGAGCCAATCAAAATTCTCAAATCTCATAATAGCCAAATTTTCTTAAAAATGCCGTATTTTTTGAATTATGGTCTTGTTTTATGTTTATAATGTCGTAATCTTTATATTAGCCTTACATTTAATATTGAAAAGTTAATTAATAATGCATTTTAAACATTTTTTTATCACACGAAGTCGCTATTTATTCATGTAAAACAGCCGTTGCAAATTTTTCTATTAAATAACACACGTGAATTATACAATCTAGGATAGATATAAAGCAAATTGGAAACTCAATAACACATTATTTTGTGTCAGCTAACATATATTTAATGATAAAATTCTATGACTCAAAATTTCTCCCAATGCAAGTAAACAGAGATACAGGATACACCGAATATTTATTTCAATATTAAAATGGGACAAAGTCACAAGTTTTTGGTTATACCACGGAACTATCGATAGTAAACTTGAAATAGTTCCGTGGTTATACACTTGGTCAAAAATTTCGGTTTTTTCTACAACTCAATATAGTCTTTTAAAGAAAGAAGGCACAGGCTATCTGTTCAGTTCTCTGTATTCGTGTTGCCAAAAGTGACTTTCATGTATCGCATTCTAGTACTGTTTTCTGAATGTAAAAGACATCCGTACGAATTCTTCAACAATTTAAAACGTTGAAACGTTTGAAGTCGATGAAAAGCCAGCTCAGCGCCATATGTGGTCTGTGTCCATATTTAATGGGAAACATTCCCTTATGTTAATTCACCAACTTTTGTTTTTGCATATTATTATGCTCATTATCAGTATAAACGTTGTTACATTATATCTTAAACAATTTAACATTACTACATTACTTGAATATACTGTGCTAGAATACGTTTTAACAAATCAGAGGATATTCAAAGTCAACTGTAATGCAGTTGATGTATGTGACAGTTGAAATATTTTTGTACCAACAACAGTTATCTCTCGTTATATTTTGCTTTCGTGTAGATTGGCTCCGCCTATTAATTTTCGTCTATTTCCGAGATAATGCCATATATGAAAGTTGCAAAATCGTTTACAAATGTTAATCGTGTTAGAATGTAAAAAGAAAGTGTGGTGTTGTCAACCTGAAGTTGTTAACTGGTGCAGTTACACTCTAAACGTCATGATGCACAGGATTAAACGTGTTGTGTACGATCTATCGTGTACATTTCTACATGTTGCAAATTTGAAGTTATACATTTCTAAATACAGTTTGCAATTTATCTAAGTTGCACGTTAACAGCTTTCATTTTATCAAGTCGAGATAATCAAAACGCTTAAATGCCAATGCAGTATGTAACTCTCGGATCGACAATATTAGATGTTTACTAATATGTTTAGAAGAACCGAAGTATGCATTGTCAAATTAAAAAGGCTGGATTTTTGCCAACGAATAGCCTCCCCACTATAGTCCTGGAGTCCAGTTTATGACTACGTATATTTACATATTTAGTATTGACCTAGAAGGGAGTTTGGTAAGCTTAACTTGTAAGACTATATAATTTAGCCATTCCATGAAGATTGCTCACACGAAAAAAGAGGTCGCTGACCCCCAAATTATTTCCGCTTTAAATGAAGATCAATCACCATATAAAATTTAAATAAATTCTATTAAAATGTTTATAGCAATCTACTACTCGTATATGTCTTCAGGTGACCACACTACATTCGACTCTAAAAAGATCAGTATGTGTTTAATCATGTGAAAAACGAATCTAAAAAAATAAAAATATGATTAACTTGTCCAGGACAATGTTATAAAGCTGGCCATAAGCTCGCTATATAACAATTTGATAAAATGTGCCATTGAAAATTGTCATTTAATTACAATTTTTCAGATAATGTATATTTTGAATTAGAAGGGGCATTAATAATTCTAATTACTGTTAAGTTGTTTATTTTAAACTACTTAACTTCTATAATGACTCTAATTTATTATTTTACACGTTTCGTACCTTGTTCTTCCGGTTCTTGTATTTTCTCTTTAGCAATTTATGGTAAAGTGTGAAAATAATAAATTAAAATTATTAAAGTAGTTTAAAGTAAAGAAATTATCAGTAATTTGTATTTTTGACACAAGAAAGAAAACAAAAAAAACACTCACATACAGAGCATTGTACTTAGGCCGTTTTAGTGCAGCACTAGTCAACGGTGTGCTAAGTTTTTTTTCTGTTAATTATTAACCATTTGGTTTAATATACAAACCAATCTTATCAAGAAATTTTATAGTACATTTGTCTACATGTTAACCGACTAAAAATGCATAGAAATAAAAGAATGAGACAATCATACATAGAAAATGCAATATACACGCAATGTACATAGAAAGTGAAATATCTACACGCAATCTGTAAATATGGGTTAAACAATAAATATTTATAAATTATCAAGAAAATACTGTTAGTTCAATGTGATAAAAGAAACTGAATAGTTGAAAAGTACAGACATTGTTTTTGAGTCTCTTGAAAACACTAACCGTTTTTGCATAGTTTGAGGTCATATTCTTTACACGGTCTCCAATAAGGTACATTATTCGTTACTTCAAACACAAGACATTTTCCGCTATTCCCGCTTGTTGTAACATGTATATCTAAGAAGAAAAAGTCGATTACGATTACACCGTGTATATCAAGTAACGCCGGAATGTGAAATTAATGCACGATTCGTGCAAAAAGTTAAGCAGAATCGTGCAATAAATGACGGATACCGGACAGGATTTCCAACGCGGTAAGGAAACTGGTCATTAAACAAACTGAAAAAAGAAATAACCGTATACGGCTGCGAAGATAAAATACTTTACCCCTCATCAAGATTATTTCGATGAAATTGCTAACTTTTTAAGATCATTCGTGAAAATGATGGCGTGCTTAGCGTTTTTAGTGTAATTTTGTTTTTTGTCGACTCTTATTAGTACAACAATGTATATAATACCGTATATTTCCAATCTTTTGGTAGGAAAATGACATTTACTTAACTTCTGGTGGCATAGAAAATAAGCTGATAAAATGTGATTTTTAAAAGTCTCTTTTATGAGGTGGCGCTGATGTACGTGGATAGTGCTTCATGGTAACATATATGGTGCTGAATTAATACACGTGTTTAACGCCATTAATCGGTGAGTATGAGCATTATTCTAAAATTTTTGTAGGCGGAACTTTAATTCACTTCATACAGAATTTATTTTAGTTTGATTGCATAAATACAGAATCCGAATCGGTCCCTGCAACCACAGAGCTATAAGCTTCGTAATATTTGTCTTGAAATGAGTACGAAGCAATGCAATTACTAGATTTCTTACTTTAGGATACAACGGTGTTGAAACCGTTTATCATAAATAGCAATTTCTCAATATCTTTTGAGATGGTAGTTACAAAAGAATGTTTTGGTTTTTTTAATTATACGAATGTTCATTGTTCTCACTCTTTAGACTATGTTTATTCACTAACCTTGTAAGAGTCGACAAAAGCCAAAATTACACTTAAAACGGTAATATACAAAAATATGTTTGCCAGTTTACTTACCTCGTTGTAAATCTCCTCCAGGTACTAGTATTCTCCATTTATTATTTTTAGTTATTTTCGCATCCCGGCGTTACTGGATATACGCGATGGAATGAATACCTTACCAACAGAAACATGTTTACTGCCATTTTATTATGTTTCGCGGTAGAAATGCTTAAGTTAGAAACGAAACTTATTAAAAGTGAAAGCTAAAACAAATTTAAGAGTTTGTACAAATAGTATTTTAAAGTTATTCATCTTACAATTATTCAAACTATCATAATACCGGCTCTGATCTTTTGGTACAATGACATACAATCATTTCCACCAGCAATCCAATCTCCATTAGGAGAAATATCACATTCACTCAATGATATGTTCCCACTTGGTAATTCACTTAGGCAAAAACACTGCAACAACATGCAAAAATGAACATCTAAACAGTTCTTTTTACTCTATTTTATCTTTTATATGCTATTATAAGAAAACGAAAATACTTATGCTGAAACTATTAAATAGCCTTGGTGTATTTTAAAAAATACAAACTTGTTGCTGAAAGTAAAATTACGTTTTAAACAACTGTGCTATTTCGTAGTATTTTATTGGAGACAAAATGATATTTACAGATGAACACGAAATCTTATCTTGTTTTTCTTCGAAGAGCTACATGCCTTGTTTTTAATCCAATATAACTGTGATGTGTTTCTTTGCACAATGAAAAAGCAATTGCCCTGGGGAATTCTTTCCTTGTCGCAACAAACCAATTGGTACTGTTTTGTTTAATAGGCTACATCCTGTAATACGTAACTTTTATATTTAGGTAGGGTTTTTACGTTGCAGAAACTCAACACAGGCTTCTACTGTTAGAGAAAGGACCTTAATAGGGTGCCCCATAGCCTTGCCTTATTTCAGGCACGAAGCGGGCACCTGAGTAGAGCCATCGAAGTTTCATTTGCTAACCTAGATAGCTTCTTCAAGAAAATGAAATTCAAAGTCCTTGGTAACAGTTTCTAAAACAGCAATGATGTGTCCTCTCTGAATCTTTTTGAGATGCTCAATAAGAACGACAATTTGCAATTTATATTTAAGATTTCCCATTTAGTCACAGTTAAAGATCAAAAAGCTTATCAAGTAATCTTTTCTTACTTACCTTCTTACTTTTGACCCGTTGGAATAACGTTCATGATTATTTAATGCTGTTCAACTTTGACAAAATATCGATCGCAAAAAAGAATAAAAAATCAGAGACAACATTGAGGCGACGCCCCGGTAACATATTCAATATATGAAGATGATGATGATTAATTGTAGATTAAACCCAGACGCTCAATTCAAGATCAAGGTCAAAAGTTATGATCAGTGGTTTTGTCTTATCTTTTTATATATCCCGGTATCTTTTATATATCTTTTTTATAAACGTGAAGTGTGTTGGTCATGATACTTTAAAAGTGTTTGATTTCATTGATAATACGTACATTATCTTCATTTCTTCAAGAATACTGCTGTTAAGGCATGGCAAAACAAAGCAATTACCAGCTATTGTTTATGTACAAGTAATGACATGATATATAATAAGAACTTACCAATGTAAGCAAAGGCTGTTTCCTTCTTATAATAATCCAACCCATGCTGTTTCCTTTTCTTTTAGGTCAGATGTTAATATTGATAATGAAACCAAGAAGAGTTTTTCCCTTGAACTGTTGGTGTTGCAAAGTTTCCCCTACTTTTTGCATTTTTCCACGAGGGCAGTTTCATTTGAAAGGACCATAATAAGCTGTTACTGCAATGATGTAAGAAATTAATATTTAATGAAACAATTTTCCAATATAGATACTTTGGTATAGACAAACTAATGAGTGTCAAGCGAAACGTTTATCACTTATGGGTTTTTGTAGTAGCCTTATCTAAATGTTTATATGAAACGCTTCGCTTTATTTGAATTGCGCATTACTCGTTAAGTTCATTCAAATTTTCTTCTGAAACTAAGAATGAGCTAAATGTAGACTTCAAAAGTGAAATCGCTTTGAAATATTCTTTTCAGAGATGCAAGGCTCAGCATCAATAAAATATATTTAAAAAAAATCTATAAATGGTGAAATTATGTTACATCCGAAAGTTTATGGCGAATTCTCGAATAACAGTTAATAGAATGTCTCTGTTGTTCACAACGTATAAGTATTTAGCAATAATTTTGTGCATGCGGCATTCCCTATTAAGGAAGTTTACAAACATATATTTTTCATTCTCTAATTTTTTTCTTATTTTTTTACAATGTTTTTGTAAAATATTTCATGATTTACAGGCTTATATACAAAGTACGATTTTTTAATCAAAATACTTAAACATTTACGAACATCTATCTGTCAAAATTACCAAAATATTGGTTATATACATGACAATGACCATCTTCGATTTTTATCAAATCGAAAACTACAGTTTTCAATCTTTAATGCCCTGTAAAAATGATAAAAATGGGATAGACATTCTTCCCCGGCGACATCATTCTTCATCTGTGTCCGTCTGAATCTATAACTTTGTTATTTATAGAAGAATGTTTGAATAAGTTTGCATCAATGTTGAAACGAATTGAGATTGAATTTGTCGTAACACAAAATACCGGTAATGGGTCTTTAACTGACAAAGTCAATGTTCACACTTTGATTTGAAAGTAATCTCTTACATACAGTGCACTGATTTTGGGTCCAGTCAACAATTCTGTTATTGGATTATGGATTTTAAACTAGCACAAATATGTTGGGCATGCTTACGACAAAAAAGAAAGAAAAACAGAAACCCTAAAGAAAGCCCTGTAAGAGCACATTTGTCTCGGTACACATTTGTCTCAAGAAGTGTGACCGATGTGTTCGTAAACATTCATATCTGCGACAAATTGGAAATTAGACAGATGTGTTCGACACACAATAGAAAGGATAGTTACTCGAAGCACATTTGTCTAAGATTTTTCCAAAAAATTCTTAAAAGTAAATAATTATGTCCATCTGTATTTCGGCTACCAGCCATTGTTCTGTGTTTTCTGTATTCATAATACCGTTTTTACGTCACTTCCGTCGACAAACGAGATGCGTAGCGAGACGCGACATTTCGGCGAGATGCGAAACGGGTCACGATATTGTGTCATTCAATATCAACCGATTACGGTGTTCCGTTTGGACATTAGAAACCTTTATTGTCTCCCTGAACAGCTATGCACAATTGTACAAAGGGGAAATTGTGATGGTAGTATGGTAGGATGATTAAAACACGATGGTGAAATCACGATGATGCGATGACACGATAGAGAAAATAATATCACGTTTTCATCATCATGTCATCGCAATTTCATCATATCGTACCATCGTATTTTCACCATCGTTACACCGTCTTTCACCATAGTACCATCACGTTTTCATCATCGAGCCTTCGTTGTTTCACCATCGTAAATCGTTGTTTCACGTTCTTCCATTGTGTTTTCACCATCACGGAAATATTGAAACAATGCAGGCTTTCATGGACGGTTCTGAACGAGTCGCGCTTAAGAATTTAGTCCTAGCTGAAAGGTCAATATTTCAGTTATACGTCCAGTCATGATATGAATTTTTCATAATAATGCGTTGATGATTATGTCCAGTCAACAATTATTTTGTCTTTCCTAGGTTTGTTTCAACAGAACTTGACATTAATAGGTTAGACATCATGACCATGTCTCACTAGCGACAAGTAGGTATCTGGCTTCAAGGTCAAGGTCTTACTTGGTTTAAACAATATTTATTTCTTCATCAATATTAACAGACAAAGGTCAATTTCTTACTTGTAAGTTCATCATTCCAGGCAATAATATTGCCATTTCTTAGTAGACTTAGCATAGATATGTTGACGACATGTAGCATGTAATAATTTGGTCTCCAGCATAAGGGTCACGGTCACACTTAAACATCTGAAGTCTTAAAATGGTCGTGTCGGTTTGAAATGAGGTTTTGTTGATGTTATTTTAAACTAATCCCAGAAATGCTCATAAAAGTTTTGAATGATTACCATAAATCATATAATACACTAAAGATAGCAATAAATCCTATCGTATTAAAAATCTTTTTTGTTTTTAAATAGTCATAAATATGGAGGATATTCAAGTTTTTTTTTTTGATGTGTGGCGGTAGCGACGAGTGAAATTCGATAAATTTCATACCACAAGATGGAAATAAATCCTGCATTTCTAGAAAAACAATCCTAGAGTATTTTGTTTATTATATTCTTTTAGATACATGTATTACAATTTGAAAGATTTCCTCTTAAATTGTGTGTATTGGCTCAATTTAGAAGAAAGCAGTCCGGCAAGACACCAGTGAAAATACAGAAAATATTTTTCACTGCAGTGAAAAACATTTTTTTTTCAGTGAAAATACGAAAAATGAAAATACGCACTTTATTTCATCAATATTTCTCAATATTTAATTTAAAAGTATATAAAAAATGTTAAGACATTCTATAGTGAACTGTTTAAAATAACTCGATTGTGTTGATTCAAAAGAAATAAGTCTTCATTGAATAAGTGTACGATTGAGAGGAAATGGCTTCTTTGCCATAAGAAGAGACAATGCATTGAAAATGAAATATTTAAAAGATAAACATGTTTAATTTTTCCTCTCTTTGTATTGAAATTAGGACATTTTCTATCTACAAATTTAATTAAAATCCTATCAGTGTTCAAATTTCAAAAACCAATGACCTTTTAGATTTTGCATAAAGCGATAAGTGACAACACGCATATTTAAGAACATATTCGCACATTTGTTAAGGTTTCAAATGTATCTTATTTTCACAATTCTGATTATTAATTTATCATAAAAGAATGTTCTTCTCAGTTTTAAACATTTTGTAAATTATCATTATCATTATTATTATTATTATTATTATTATTATTATTATTATTATTATTATTATTATTATAAATAGCTAAAGACAAATAAAATATGCAACTTTCTCATTCAATTTAGTAGATTTTAATGAATTGATAGAATAAACAGACAAGCCACACAAACATGAACGTTCAGTAATTATTTATTGCATACGCACGGGGGAGAATCAAGTCGTTCGTTACCCAAACAAACAAGATGGCGGATGCAGCCGAACAGTAAGTTTTTCCCTTTTTTCTCTGAAATTCGTGATGTTCTTGTGTAAAGGTGCATATTTTTCCACCGGTTAGATCGTGGTAACGTACGGCTTTTTCGTTTTGTATACATATATGCATATTAACTGAAACCACTGACTTTGAAAAGTTGTAACATGTCGTTATCTCAGCATTCATGCCCATTCTGGCTAGATAAACGCTGTAAATATTAATATCGGGGCATTTTCTGGAAATGATTACGTATGGCGCACAAAATACCAATGATAACGTACGGCGCATTTTTCTGCTTAATGGATTTTCTAAACATCAGTTAGTTTTGAATAAAAAAATTATGTTTATCGCTCAGGTCTTTCCAGACATGTAGAACCTAATAAAGAAACTGAATATTATTTAGTGTTTGCATAATATTATCTGCCATGTGTTTTTGTACCGGATAGAAATATCCGATCCGAGAGCGCTTGCCCATTGGGCTGTAACGAGGCTTGCTAATTTCCAGCCCATGTGCAGATGCCCGAGGGGTGGATATTTAAATCCGATACGTAATCTCAAATGATACGTTTTCTTGCATGCCATTGACGTCCGCGCCG